CCGGGCACCTCTGTGCCCTGGGGACATGGCCATGAACCAAGCAGACAGAACTCCGTCTTCTGGGAGCCCACCTTCCAGTGCGGGGAGCAGGCCATAAACAACCACCGTAAGGAGTCAGTCAATTACAGAGTGTCAAGATGCGATAAGTGCTATTTAAAACCACAACAACAACGGGACCAGGAGTGACGGAGACAAGGCTGACTACGTAACTTACAGAGCCCAGTGCAAAATGAGGACGTGGGGCCCTTGTTCCAAAGGCAGAGAAAAGGTGCCACCGAAGGTACACAGGAAAGCTTTTCCGTCCTACTGCAATCTCTCTCTCTCTCTCTCTCTCTCTCTCGACTTGTCACTGTGTTTTTTATCTGCTGCTTAATGAGGTTCTCAGTAAAGAAAAATCCAACATTTAAATTAGTAGCATGAGTCTTACCATTCATCTTTATACTGTGCAATGCCAGTTTTAAATGCAAATATCAGAGCATTTAACTCGCATGTGGAATCACGGAAATTACACAATTTGTAGTTCATGGCTCGTCCCCAAGGGTGCCCCAAGCCCACCAGGGAGGCAAAGAGGAAGACTGGAAGGAGGAGGAGAGGATGGGCACAGCCCCAGAGTGAGGGAGCACTCCTGGCTCGGGGGTGCCTCAGGGTAAAGAGCCTCACAGGCACGGGGTGGGGGGGCCCACAGCCTACTAGGGGGGACTCGCCCCCTCTCAGGACCCTGAAAACTGCCAAGTTCCCCCACCTGCCAGATGCTGGACTGATGCATAGCACCCCAGATGGGGGCAGGGCCTGGGGAAGGCAAGCCAGGCCTCTAGGTCCCACAGGTACCCCACTCCAACCCTTGGCAGATGCGTGACCCCCAAGGATCTTTAAACTTCCATTCCAGGATATGCTCAATGCCTGGATCAGGGTCTTATCCTCACTGAGATTTGGCCTCTGGCCAGTCACCCACCCACACCTGGATGTGCCATGCTGCTGCCAGCCCAGGGTGGGGATGGTTGCTGCCGTACCCTGCCCCAAAATGCTGTGGGGCCCGTGCACCTGACTGCCCCTCCCTGTCCTGTGCCTGTGACCAGGGGCCTGCCAGGCACCAGAGATAGCCGCAGTCCTGGAGCGGGGCGGGAGGTGCTAATGGTGGGGCAGCAGGCGACTGAGGCTATGCCCCTGGCTCACGCTGCCTGTCCCATGGCATTTCACTTACAAAACACAAATTCGAAGATAAAATTATTAAGAATTTCAAGACAGTGATGGCAGAGCATAGAATGCCAAGTGTGGGGCCCTTCTGAGCACAGGACCCCTTGCAAGTACACTGGTGACACTCCCAGAAGCCAGCCCTGGAGGAAGGAGAGGTTGTCATTTAAAACCAGTGTTCGGAGAAGGCTTGGATAAGAAGGTGATGTTTGAGCTAAGACTTAAGAATGAGAAGGAATGAGCCACTCAGATTTCGGAAGGAAGGGTGTTCCAGGCAGAGGGAACAGCAGGTGCAAAGGCCCTGGGTTGGGCATGTGCTGGTATGTCCAAGGACAGCAAGGGGACCCTTGTGGCTGGAGCTGAGGATGAGGAACCAGTTGTGCCAGGCCCTGGGTGACAGTTTAAGGATTTGGACTTTTAGTCTGAGAGAAAGGGGGAGCCAAGAAAGGCTTCCAGTAGAGGAGTGACATGATCAGACTTGGGTTTTCAAAGGATTCCTCCTGGGTTGAGAATAGACTATAGGAGGCAGGAGGAGAAGCAGAGGGCTATTGCAATAATCCAGGAGAGGGATGATGGAGGCTGGGGCCAGCCTGGAAGGATGGGTGGTCAGATCTGCATATTCAACCATAACAATCTAATGAATATTTATTGGGGCCCAGTGTGCGCCCACGGTTCAAGGCTCAGAGTGTTAAGCAAACAAGACAAGGTTCCTGCGGTTCTGGAGCTGACATTCTGGTGAAGAAGAGGCAGATGATAAGCAAAGAAAGGGAGAACAAGAAAAATACTGGACAATGACAAGTGCTCTACACAGAATTAAAATCAGGTAACTGGAATATTTCTTTAGAAAGGCCAAGGAGGGCCTCTCTGAGATGACATTTAAGCTGAAATCTGAGCGACAAGATGGAGGCACCATGAGATCAGGGGAAAATCATTCTAGGCACAGGGCACAGCATGTGCAAAGTCCCTGTGCACAAGTCAACTCAGGCTGCCATAACAAAAGACTGTAGCCTGGGTGGCTTGAAAAACAGACATTTCTTTGTCTCACAAATTTGGAGGCTGGAAAGTCCAAGGTCAAGGTGCCCACCCACTCCGGTCCTGCTGAGAGCTTTCTTCCCGGCTCGCAGACTGCCACCTCTTGCTATGCCTTCAGGTAGCCTTTCCTCAGTGCGTGCGTGTGAAGAGAGAAATCTCTCTCTTCCTCTTCTTCTAAGACCACCAATCCTATCAGATTAGGACGCCACACTTACGGCCTCATTTAACACAATCATATTGGGGTTTAGGGCTTCAACATACGAATTGGGGGGGAAGCTATTCAGTCCATAGCACCCCGAGTTGGGAGCCAAGCTTGGCCAATCCAGGGCAAGGCACAGAGAAGGCCAGGGGCGCGGGGAGAGCGCTTCAGACGAGGCGGCAGAGGCAGGCAGCGATCGACTCACGTGGCCTTCACGAGCCAGGCTGGGCATCTTGGATTTCGCCTCCTACGTGTCAGGCACACACCACAGGCCCTTCGGCCACGATCTCATTTCATAGTCCCCATGACTCTGCAAGGGACATCCTATCTCTGCCAATCTCACAGGGGGGGAGACCGGAGCCCGAGCACAGAAGAGAGCCACCCGGCCCTCACCCGTCTTTCTGCTGAGCCCGGGAGCAGCCCTGAGCTGAGCGGGACATCCCAGACGGAGACGCCCCCGGAGCAGATAAGGGATTAGAGGCGGATCTAGCACCTGGTCCTGCTGAGGGCTTCCGAGGCCTCAGGGGGATCAGGCAAAGGCCTGGCGAGTTGGGACAGGGTTTTTCAAGGTCAGGTTCTCAGGTCCTCTATATCCAAATCCCATAGGGCACAGATTCCCAGGCCCCACCTGTGGACACAGATGATCTGAGGGTGTTGCCTAGAAATGTGCATTTTTAACTAGCGTCCCAAGGGAACCCACTGCTGTGGGGGGAGGGGCCAAGGCAGCTGAGCCGGCAGCTGCAAAGGGGCACCAAGGGAGACACGCCTCCGTCCCCAGCCCTGCGGAGGGGCCTGGAGCAGCTTCTGCTGGCCTGAGAGTATAACGGAATGACTTCTGAAAGGAAGTGTGTTTCAGCTGGGCATTGAAGGGGGAAGGATTGCCAGGGGTGGAGAATGGGGAGGGAGAGGGCATTCCAAGCAGAGGGAACTGCATAGGCAAAGACTCGGAGGCTGGGCATGACTAAAGGAGGAAGGGGAGAGGAGATTGCAAACAAGCCTTCGCCAATCCCCACTGTGACCAGGGGACACTGTGACCAGGGGACGCTGCGACCAGGGTTAGCTTCACCAGCCTGCAACCGCTGTGGGGACAGGACTATTGCAAGTTGGCCCCTGGTGGCCGCTCCGGTAGCCCCCGTTTGCCTAGGCCCCCAAGAGTCACTGACGGATGGATCAGCTGGGCCCGCTGGCCCGGCTTCTGTTCTTCCTTCTGAGGACGAGAGAGCAGACCGACTTCACAGGCTTTTAGGCAGAGAACAAAGGGGCTGCACGCTTGGTGGAGGGGATGAGTGAGGACCTCTGTAGGGCATGGCTGACCTGGTGCCCGTCCCTGGGTGCCCTCCAGTGCTGGCTTGGGCACAGGGCCTGGGAGGCAGCCTGTCTCTTAAACGGGGGCCCGAGCCCGCTCTGCCTGCTCTCTGCTCAGAGCTGGCACACCCAGAGGGCATTGGAGCTGGAGTCTCCCAGAGCAGACTGTTCAATACTCAGGAAATTTGCAAGCTGGCTGTTGAACTTCTGGTGACTTGAAATTGGCCATCGTGGATGGATTTACACCATGGAAATTGGCACATATGAAAAAATCAGGGCTTTTTTTCCCTTCTTCCACAGAGATCGTTAATTAGCACTCCACAGACAAGGGCGCCATGGCCACCAGCACCTGGGCACAGGAGACATCCAGGTACAGCAGACGCTCTCGAGTGTCCCTGCTCACAAGGAAGAACCAGCCTAGGAGGGAGACCGAGAAACACTGTGGGAGGTTACACACCAGAGGGATGATGCTCACAGCACCTGCCACGTCCTGAGTCCCTCCCGTGTGTCCTGTGCTGGAGCCTCTCGCGCATCATCTCTACTCCTCGCAGTGGAGTCCCCCGCACAGATGGGACAAATGAAGCTCAACGGTATGAAGTCACCTGCCTAGGACCATACAGCTGCCCAAGGCAGGTCCCAAACCACACTGCTCTGACTCCTGAGCCTGTGTGTAGCCTTAACCACTGCAGTGTCCTGCCTCCACATAATATGCTGCACTGTGCAGGCAGAGCAGGGAACAACCAACCCTGCCAAGGGTAGGGGCAGGGGTGGCACTGGGAAAGACTTCCCAGGAGTGGTGACATTTGGTCTGGGCTTTAAAGGATGAATAGGAGTCTGGCAGTTTTCGGGCAAAGTGAGAAAGACATTCCAGGTGGAAGGAAAAGCAGAGGAAAAGGCATGGAGGAGTAAGAGCGCATAGGAAGTTTGGGGGAAGGGAGAACAGGATGGTATGATGGGGGTTGGGGTGGGGAGGAGGCAAGATGGGAAGGTAGCTTGGGGTTATAGCGAGAAGAGGCTCAAAAGCCAGGCTAAGAGATTTGGTCTTTATCTTGCAGGCTTTGGGAGTCACAGAAGTTAAAAGTTCCCAGAAATCACACCCTAGAACTATGTCAATATTATGATGAAATTGCTACCATTTCTGTTTTACAATGACCCCAAAAGCAGCACTTCTGGAACCATCTGTGGAGAAGGACTGGTTTTTAAAAATTTCTAATCTGTCACAGACCAAAACTTTTATAAAATACAAGAAAAATGAGTTACTAGGAAAATAAAATGAAAAAAATTACAAGCCTATTTCTTTATTATGAGACTCAAGACATAAAATTACTCTATCAAATTGCTCATAAGTTCTCAACCCTTAATTTCTGCATCCACTTTGATAGAGAGGAACTTGTCCAGGGTTCTCTGTCGCAGGCACAGATCTAGGACAAACGCATATTCTCCTCGTAAGAGCTAAGTGCTCTCAGACAAATCCCATTTTGGAGATGAGGACTCTGTTGCTCAGAGAAGGTAAGTGGCCTGCCCAAGATCACACAGCTGGTGAGTGGCAGGGCTGGGGTTCAGACCTGGGGCTGTGTGCCTTGTTGCATTCAACCATCTGGCAAGTGCAGCCCCGTCGGCCCCTTAGCCTTGTCCCTCCTCTTAACACAAGGTCAAGAGCCCTGCAGACGAGGAAATGGAGCTGACGTAAGAGGGGAACTTCCTTGCTCAGGGTCTCGCTGCAAGGGGGCGGCAGAGGCAGCCAGTCTCCAGGTCTGCTTGACACCAGCCTGTGCTCAGTGTTGCCACTCCACCGGGCTCTGTTTGTGCGGAGGACTTCCAGGCCAAGCAGGGCAAGGGAAGGAGGGGCAGGAAGAGGCAGGGGACTCACCAAGTGCTGGCAATTACACGGTGCTTTGTCATTCTTAATTAGCTCAGCAGCTCCATAGCCAGAGACCTCCCTCTGTGGATGCCCAGACTGAGGAGGAGACAGCTGCTGGTCCTCTCCAGGAGGGCAGTCTGGGCTGGTGGGGGCCCTCAGGGCCACCTCCTCCAGCCTCCACAGTTGCTGTTGCTTCTCCAACTGCGGAGGGTCACCCGCTTGCTGGGCACACTCAGAGAACTGGCGGACAGAACTTAAGTCCCTGATGCGTACTGGGCACCTCCTCTGTGCCAGGCACTGGTCAGCGGCTCCAGGGAAGCCTGGGGTGAATGATGCTTCCAGCCTTGATCCTTGAGGCATGCTCAGCTGCTGGGGGAAGCAAATTTATTGTTGTTAGTGTCGCCAAGTGGATTCTGACTCCTAGCGCCCCTGTGTTCAGCAGAGCAGAACCCTGCCCGGTCTTTTTGCACCATCTTCTCACCTTCTGGCGCTGTATCAGACAGCGATCTGCTGCTATGCATAGGGTTTTCATGGCCAAATTTTTCAGAAGAGGGTGGCCAGGTCGTTCTTCCTGGTCTGTCTTAGTCTGGGAGCTCTGCTGAAACCTGTCCACCATGGGGGACCCTGCTGGTACCTGAAATACCAGTGGCATAGCTTTCAGCATCTCAGCAACATGCAGCTGCCACAGTATGACAACCAGCAGGTGGGTATGCAGCTGCCACAGTATGACAACCAGCAGATGGGTGGCGTGGTTCCCTGACCAGGAAACGAAGCTGGGTCCCAGTGATAAGAGTGCTGAATCTTAACCACTAAACCACCAGGGCTGGCTGGGAGGCAGACAGGTTCACCAACAACCATAAAAAATGAATGATAACCAGGGTTACCGTTTTCTGAGCACTTGCCACATGCCAGGCACACGGCAAAGCCTTTCCCATATATCACCCCACAGAAGCCTTACAAAGCCTTCTAAGGCAGGGTCTGTCCCCATTGTACAGATGAGGAAACTGAGGCCCAGTTAGCATAGGTGGAGGATCTGGTTTTAGAGCCCAGGTATGTTCAACTCCAAGGTCAAACCCTTGTTGTGTAGGAGTGTGTGTGTGTGTGTGTTGGGGAGGGAAGACAGGTGTGTGGGTGGCTGTGACTGTGGGTTCTGGGGTGGAGGCCAATTAGACGTTCTGGGCAAAGGTGGGGAGGCTGGGGAGTTGAGGAGACCATCTGGCTGGATGTTTCTGGAAGAGGAAGCAGCATGGAAAGGATCTGAGGAGGGAAGGGTTGTGGCTGCTGAGTCAGTGGGACCCAGCAGACAGGAGAGGCCCTGCGGGTTGGGTGAAAGGTCAGAGCCACATCTGAGCAGGAATCCCTGGGGCTTCTGACTCACCAGGGTCCCTGTGGCTCCGGGAGAGGGCTGTCTCAGACCTGGGCCCAAGGAGGGTGAGATGAGGCCAGATCGGGCCAGGCTGGCTCCCATCCCGAGAGCTCCCTTCCCTGGGGACCAGTCAAGAACCATGATAATACTAACCACTCTGTCCTCACTGTCCATCCAGCTAGGAGAGTGCATATATTAGCTTGATTATAGTATACGACATATCTAGCACTTATTATATGCCAGGCGTAATTCTAAAGACGTCCCAAACATTCACTCTTTTAATCCTCACAACCACCTATGAGGCACATCATTTTACAGAAGAGGACACTGAGGCCTGTGGGATTTAAATGATTTGCCTGAGGTCGTGAAGTAAAGAAGTGGCAGAGACGGCGTCCCAGGCTCCAGCATCCCCGTGTTCAGCCCCCATGCCCTGTTAGCGAGGGCAAGAATACACACGCTGCCGGAGAAACTCCCATTTGACAGATGGAGAAACTGAGGTGAGGGGACTGGCTCAGGAAGTGGGGAGGACAGATCACCTGAGGAAATCAGCCTGGGCTTCCGTTGTGGTCCCCTGAGAGCCCGAGTATAGCTGGAGAGAGGCTGAGAGCCCTCGCAGCCCTGGCACCCACTATCCACTGGGGTCCCCCGAGGGTCCAGTGGGAGAGAAGACAGTAAGATTACAATTCTGACACCATTTTCCTAAAGACAAAAGCCAGTTACTCCCATAGGTAGCTTTTCCCTCCCTTTGATTCTATTTTTTTCTTTCCGATTACTAAAGGATATATGATCATTGTAGAAATTTTTACAAAGTTAGATCAGAGAAGCAAAAAAAAAGAGAGAGAAAAAAATCACCTTAAAACTCCTTGAATACTGGTGTATTTTCACGATTTCTTTGTTCCCTCTGATTTTATAAGAACTCAAGATAGGAAGCAAGACTTGGATTCTGGTCCTGGCTTGCTGTGTGACCTTGGGCAAGTCCCTGCCCCTTCTGGGCCTCAGGCCCCTCACCTGTGAAATGAGGGTTTGGATATAGTGACCTCAGAGGAGGCCCCTTACAGCTCTGACCTTCTGTTTTTGTTTCTGTTTCTGGGACTGGCAGAAGGGACACAAGCAGGCTGCCCCTCTGTGGGGGACACATGGCTGACAGCTCCCAGCAAGTCACCTCCGGGAGGATGCAGTGGCCCTGTAAACAGGCTTGGTTGCAGGCACAGCATTCCCAGGCTGCCTGCTTACGAGCCCCATATGGTGGCCCCCGCCAGCTGGACACCACCACTGCCCTTCACCAGCCAGTCCTGGGTGATTGCTTTTCCTTCAAGTTCCAGAATGCTTTCTTGACTGCCCTACGACGCAGCTGGCATGGGGTAAGAGAGCTGGCGGCTCAGCCCTGAGGACTGACTACCCATTGCCATAGCCCTTTGCAGGAGAAGACAGCCTGGTGTGGTGAAAAGCTGGAGAGAGGCGGGGGCGAAGAAGGAAGGAAGGAAAGGAACATTGACTGTATTCCAACTCCATTTGGACCCCTCACTAGGCATTTGGGATTCAGAAATGAATCAGAAAAACTTACTGCCCTTGAAGGACACCAAGTCTAGTGGGGACTAGAAGAGTAGAAGCAGGCAGCAGCCACGCTTGCAATGCTGAAAGCTCAGGCCTGTGGGACCCCACAGGGAGAAGCGTACCGATGGGTGGTAGCTGGGGAAGGCTTCCTGGAGGAGGCAACTTTACAGGGGAAATCTCAAATACAGGACTCAGCCTTTCTACCTCATGATATTTAATCCTTACAGACAGCCCTGTGCAATAGGTCCTGTGGTGCCTTTCCCAAATGAGGCTCAAGAAGGTAAGCTCACAACCACCAAAAGAAGGAAAGTTGGGTTAAAACTCCTGGCCTTCTCTTCTGGCCTGGGGACCCGGGTTTGAGTTTGGTCTCAGCCTCTGCCTTGCAGAGACCCTCAGGGAGTGCCTCTCTCCCAGGCTCGGGCTGTCATCCATAAAGTGGGTCTGTTGCTGGCTGCAGTGCTGTTGGCGGAGCAAAGGACAGAACGGCTGAAAAAGCACTAAGTTCATAACCCCTGAGAGGAATGTCAGCGAGGCCTCCCTGTTGAGCTGGGGACAGCACACCTTGTCCTCCCCCAACAAGGAGCAGGACTCCTGCCTGCTGAGCCGGGAGCACTCCCAGAGGCTGAAGTCACCTTGCTGAGGCACCCCCATCCGGAAGGCAGGCTGTGCTCTCCCTTTGACTCCCTTTGACAAAGCCTGACGGGCAGGATCCTAGAGAGAATCCTAAATCCTGGAGTTAGAACATCTGTGCTTGAGGAATTCTAAAATCCAGACTTCCTCTAAGCACCTCCTAGCAAGCAGGGCAGGGTCCGGGTCAAGGTCATGATGCAGCACCTGGCCCTGCCTGGTTGAAAAGATCACTAGAGATAGGATCAAGACCCAGAGAGGGGAAGGAATTGCCTGAGGTCACACAGCAAGTCAGTGTCAGAGGCAAGGCTTCTTTCCCCACCCTTCAGTGCATAGGGGTGGCCACACCACCTCTGAGGCTACTTAAGAGTGGGGTGGGCAGGGAGCAGCCTGGGTGCCACTGGCTGTGTAAAGTGCCCACTGGTCTTGCAAACTTTTAGACTCCTGTCCCTTTCCCAGAAAAGTTCTAAAACCTCAATCTCTCCTTCTAAGCCTCCCACTGCCCTGGGCATCTCTTTCTGCTTAGACAAGACGCTTCTCTCCGGCCCTCAGTCTCCCCATCTGTAAAAGGGTTTCCAGTACCTTCCAGCAGGGCTGTCTACAAATCCTAGAACAGGTCTTCGCGGCGGGGGGCGGGGACTCTCGGACCCTCACGCTCCTATGGGGTGAGGAATAAGAGGATTGGAGACAGGGAGGAAAAGCGGGGGCGTGTGAGGCTTTCCGCTGACTATCTTAGGGGCGCCCTTTGTTTAGACAGCCTTGGGGAGCGCGGCGCGCCGGTCCCGGGAGCCAGGGCGGGGCGGAGGGGCGTGGCCGTGGGCGTGGCCGGGCGGCCCTCGCCCCTCCCGTCGGCGTCGGCGCGGAGCCGGGCGGGGAGGGAGGAGGGAGGAGCGCGGAGCAGACCGCGCTGCCGGCCCGGCGGAAAGTTTTCCTGCTGGAGTTTTGGCTGCGGCGGCCGGAGCGGCCATGGACGCGCTCAAGTCCGCGGGGCGGGCGCTGATCCGGAGCCCCAGCCTCGCCAAGCCGAGCTGGGGGGGAGGCGGCCGGCACCGGAGTGAGTGTGCGCGCGCCCGCCGCGGGCCGGGGCCGGACGGGGGTCGGACCGCGCGGCGGGCCTCCCGCGGGCCGTCCGGGGAGAGGCGGGGCCTGACGGGCGCGCGGCGGCCCGCGCGCCCTGCGGGGTGGGGGGCGCCGGGGGTCAGGTCGTGCTCCCCGTCCCGCCCCTGCTCTGTGCAGCTGGGGAGGGGGCCGAAAGCTGGGGGTCTCCAGGGGCAGGTGGCAGGCGGAGGGGTTGCAGGTAAGGAGAAGGGACCTGTGCGACCTCAGCACCTCCCCACCTCGCCGCCCTGGGCAGCCGGGGGAGACAGGAGCTCCGCGTCTGTGCCGGCGGCGGGGGGCGCAGGGGCTTGGGAAGATGCCCCCATCCCCGCACCCCTGCGTCCCAGCCGCTAGGTCAGCGGCCGGCGGGAGCCCACTTGCCCCGTCCCCGCAGTCAACCCACGAGGTCGGTCTAAGCCTCTCAGGCGCCCGGAAACCGACTCAGGTGTGAGCCTGGGTTCGCAGGTGTCTACTTCAAGTTGGGGGCGAGGCTGAGCCTGAGGTCTCAGGAAGTACCGCACATCGGGCCATCTAGATCCCTGCGTCTCTAACTCTGGCCGGGTCCAGGTGGCGAGGCTGGCGTCTCGGCTGTTTTTGAAACCTGTTTTCTCTCGCACTTTCCCTCTTGGGCTTCCGAAGTCTCCGGGCGCCCAGGCGAGTGGCAGGCTCGCCGCCACCTCTCCTGGGGGCGTCTGGGAGGCTGGGAGGAGCCTTACCCGGCCCCCCTCCTCTCCCCTTCTCGAGTTACTCTCAGGGAATCAGTCACCTGGCATCTTCCCCTGAGGCCTGAGAAACCCAGCCCGAGTCCCTCCTTTTTCACGAGGGGAAACCAAGTGGCTTGCCTGGGGTCACACACACCTTCCTGGGGGACGTGGAGTCAGAGCTCCTGCACCGTCCCCACCCCCTGCCCACCACCTCTGACCTGGCCTCTCACCCACCAGAACAGAACCCCACCCCCCTTCCTTCTTCGCCTTCCAGGGCTCCGCCAGGGGAGCCCGAGTTCCCTCGGCCGGGAGTGCCAGCGTGTCTGGGCCAGAGAGCCCGCCCTGCCCCTCCTCTTGCCTGGCTCTGCTGTTCCAGCTGTGGCCGCCTCCTGAACCACGGCTGGCACTGGGAGCTTGGGCTGGTGCCTGCGGGTGGGGGTGGGGTCAGAGACCCATTAGGCCTGGGCCAGGCCAGGGATGCACCATTTCCCTCCCTTGTTGGCTTCCAAAATAGCCCTTTTAAATATTTGTGGGATTTGCCCAGGACTTCTGAGAATGATGGTCTATTCCAGGGGGGGATCCCTGCAGTTTTCTCCTGGGATGAGGGAGGGAGGGGGCCCTGGGCAAGGGAGGGAAGCTTGGAAGCTCCTGTGAAGCTGGGGAAGGGGGAGAGGCAGCCCGCTTGGGTGTTGGAGAGGAGTTTCTCCCGCCTGCTTTGATCTTGGACAAGTCACTTACCCTTTCTGATCCTCAGTTTCCTCATCTGCAAAATGGAGAGAGAAATTCTAACCTGGCAGGAGTCTTGAGAAGGTTATTGGTAATAATGCTTCCTCCTGTCACCTGATTGGTGGTTTCCTTGTCCCCCGCTCCCATTCCTGTCATGTGGACCTTCGACATGACAGTTAGTGGTGGAACAAGTTTGGGGGCTCAGAGCCTGTCTCCACCTGCAGAGGAAAGGAGAAGAGAGCCCCCCGCCCCCGTGGGCCCCCAGAGAGCTGTCCTGAGCCTTCAGGACCCAGCATGATCTGGGTCTGGTCCCCGCCTGTCCTTCTGTCCCTTGTCATTGTCTCGGTTTCCTCATGTGTAAATTGTAAATAACGGTAGTTTCCGTCTCTGATTTTTGTGTGTGAATGAAATAGTGTTTTCCTGGCCCAGAGAAAGAGTTCAATGCTGCTTTTGTCACTTTACGTTTTCCACAGTGCTTTTGCTTCTGTTGTCTCCTTTGCCCCTGTGAGGTGACAGAGCAGGGATTCTTGTCAGACCCATTTGAGCGATAAAGGAAGCAGGGCTCAGGGAAGTGGAGTCACTGGCCCCGGCACAGAGCCTCTGAGAGGCTCCAAATCCCCAGCCCAGGGGCCTTGTCGGGGTGCCTCACGGACTCTGGCCCTGGGAGGAGGAGGAGCTGGGGGCAGGCCCCACCCCAGGCTGGACTGGCAGCCCCTGAGGACAGTGGTGGCCACAGGGCACAGCGGGAAGCTCTGAGGTGTGTCCAGGTTGGGGGTGCAGGAGCAGCCTGGCCCTGGGTGGTGTCCCAGCCAGGCCTTGGGCTCAAGGTCTGAGCTCTGTGGTTGAGTTTTGGTGCCAGACTGAAGCCAGTGGAGTTAAGGTTAGAGTTGACACCTGCTTTGGCTGTGACCTGCTCCTCGCCTTTCAGGGTCCTTGGCTGGGATTAGTATAATCGTTTTATTTGTGGAGAAACTGAAGCCCAGAGAAGGGAGGTCACTTGCCCGAGGTCACCCAGCAAAGCCAGCACCCCAGGCATCTTTGCACTGAACCTCATAGCCCCCTCTCTTACTTAGTCCTGACCTCGAAAGAGGGCTCTCTCTCTCCCACATGTGACCTTCAAAGGAACCATCAATATTTTATCTCATTCCTGGCCAGGGATTTTCCTTTCTTCTAGCTGCTTGGAAGGGTGGCTCACCCTGGTCCCTCAGCACCCTTCTTTCCAGAGGTACTGGAGTCCTCTGACCCTCGGGCTCCCTCGAGGCCTCTGCCAGTCTGTCAGAGAACCCCCTGAGGATGGCTAAAGAAATAGGAGGTGCAGGTTCCAGTCAAGCTGGTTCATGGTGGTGGGCGGGGGACAGAGGACCTGGTCCTCCTTATTTATGATACTTATAATAAAGATATTATAATAACCGTCATCCTTATTGAGCACTGACTAAGTGTCAGGCCGTGATGGAGGCGTGGGGGAGTCCAGAGAACGGTCAGGCTGGTGGAAGAGGGACCAAATGACCAGGGTGCCCGTGGGGGGCATGAGTGTGGTGCTGGTGACGCTATGAAGAGAGAGAGAGCTGGCTGAGGAAATGGGACAGCTTCTTAGGGTGGCGTCTTCGTTTGGGTTCTTCTAGAAGCAGATGCTGAGACAAGGATCTGAGTACAAGTCATGTATTTGGGAAGAGATCCCAGGAAATATCATCAGGAGAAGGGAGAAGAAGGAAGTCTGGAAAGTGGACAATATGAAGCCGGTTATCACTGTGGGCGACGGGTGTGCCCTCGCGGGGGACTCTGGGAGGTGGTGTAGACGTGGTCTTCAGTTACTCTGTTCGAGAAGCAGTTCCCATCAGTGGTGGGTGCAGGGCTGGTGGGATGGGAGCTGTCCACGTCCCAGTCTGCAGGGCATCAGCATCGCCAGCTGCCGGCAGAGAGTGGCGTGTGCAAATGGTACCCACCGAGGGACTGATGGTGAGCCACTGATGGCGTCCGCACAGGGATTCAGGGAAGGTGACTTGGAAGGCTTATGAATACAAGGAGGGAGGAATCTGGGAACAGCGCTCCAGCCAGAAGGAACAGCAAGTGCAGACAATGTTTAACTGGAGGTTGGGACTGATTCGCACAGTCTGGCGGCTGAGGGGGGCATGTGGCTTTGAAGGAGTCAGGTCACCCACTGCCCACTGAGGGTGAGCCAGACTCTCCTTTCAGGCATCCCCGGAGGGCAGGACACCCGCCCCTTTTGGAGATCCCGAGCCGGCACCCTGCCTTGCATGGGGAGGGACGTGGGCTGCGGGAGTGGGTACAGGGTACTGATTCGAGGCCCAGCACTGTCCCTTCCGAGCCGTGGCCAGACTCCTCTGAGCTGCTTTAGCTGCGTCGTGGGGATGCTAACATATCCTTGACTCTTCTCATAAAATACTGCGAACAGCCATGCACGCGTGAAAGCTCTTTGCACCTGACCCTTGGTGGTGACCCTCACTCACACGTCAGTGGCACTTGGTGTGCCCCAGGCGCGGGTCTGAGCCCGCCTCATGTGTGAACTCATTTCATCCTCACAACAACCCCATGGGGGGGCTACTGTTACTGCCCCCATTTTAAAGTGAGGAAAGCGAGGACCAGGGAGGGGGAGTGACGGTGAACCCCTCAGCCCGTCTCCAGACCCCATCACTTTAACCTCGACAGCGTATTTTTCTCTTGCAGTGTAAATAGGTGCTTAGGAAATAGTAGCTGCTGCTGTTGTCATCTTTTAAATTATTTTCTTTTGATAATCTTAACAACTTCTGAAATTTGCCCAGCACTTTTCACATGCTGAACCTTTTTCCGACGATGCTGCTGAGGGACTGAACTCATTTGTTAGATACAAAGACTGTGGCCCAGAGAAGCAGCCACCCAGGTCCCTGCAGGGCTTGAGTCCCCTTCTGAGACGTTATCCCTCTGTCTTCTGAGGCCATCTCCCCGCCACGCTGGAGGAGGCTGGAGGCCAGGGCCCTGGGCAGAGGTCCCCGCCAGCCCGTGGTTTTGGCTGCGGCTCTGAGGTTCCAGACACCAGCCAGGCCGGGTCTCCCGGGCAGCAGAAGGCACTGGGCCCCCTGCCCAGCTCTGAATCCCGGGCAGGGGCCTTAACAAGGAAAGAGCACGTGTTCGTGGCTGCAAGTTACATGGGGCGTATGGTCTGTCCCCAGCTAACTCTGACAGCAGGTCATCTGTAAAACTGCGAAGTTAAAATAGCACAGTCATTACCCACCACAAGGCCAAAAATAAGCAGGACCGGAACAGGGCTGTGGACTCAGGCCTGTATTTGCCTGGTGGCCTCTGGGAGCTCTTCCTGGAGTGCCGGCTCTTCCTGCGGAGGAGTATGTGGCCTCCAGCTTATCTGTGATGACGAGATGGTGAGCAGGGTGGGCGCGGTAGAAAACCCTCCGTGTCTGTGCCACGTGCTCCCCGGTGCTGGTTGCTGTGGGGAGGCCATGGGACCCGAGAGACCTTACACCTCACTGAAGAGATGAGTCACGCGCAGACGTACAGGAACAGAGCGAGGCAGGCAGGGTTCCCTGGAGGGAGAGGAGGATCTCGGCCAGGCCTGGGAGGACGGGGTGGTGGGGATTCAGGGACCAGGGAGAAGTAGGACCAGGGAGAAGTGGCTCCAAGAACTTTTCCCCAACCCTTTGCTAGAATTAAGGTAGGTTGCCTCATGGGAAGGTAGTGTTGCCTAATGGTCAGGAGCTTGGGCTTCAGCGTCAGACAGACAGCTAATCTGACAAATTGCTTGTCCTTTGAGCCTGTTTACTCATATGTGAAATGAGAGTGAAGGAATGCCTGCTTGCAAGGCAGCTGCATGGCAAAGCTGAGAAGCAGCATTGGCAGGAGGGCACCCTCTCGATACAGTTCCTGGGGGAGGCAGACAGGACTGGGCGTCCTTCGAGGGGAAGACACACAGTAGGCAGCTGCTTGCTGATGGGGGATGTGGCTGCGGGAGGAAGAGAAGGGAATCCGTGTTCAAGAGAGGCGCAGGCAACCCGCTGACAGGAGGGATGGGGCCCGTTCACTGAGCACCTGCTGGGCGGGCCCCTCTGCTCAGTGAGTTACATTTTATCATCTCATTATCTCATCTTATTATCTCATCCAAGAGTCAGAACAGCCCTGTGAGCCAGCGACTTTTGTTTCCCCTTTTACATCGATGAGAAAACTGAGGCTCAGGGAAGATCAAGATCTCTCAGTGTCAGAACTGGGCTTCTAGGATTAAGGCCCTTGTTCTTAACCACTAGGCTATACTGCCTCAAAGAAGGCTTCCTGGAGGACGCTGGATGGGAGGGTGTTTAATCAAATGAAGGGAAGGGCACAGGGGGAAAGGAACTACTTGAGCAAAGGCACAGAAGTGGGAGAGTAAAAATTGCATCATGAGGAAGGTCTGTGTGGTTGGAGCTCCTGTTGTGTGTGTGTACGTGCATGTGTGTGCATGTGTGTGTGTGCAGGGGTGTTGTGGGAGAGGAGACGGGAACTTGTAACTCTCCAACAGTCATTGTGGGAATTGCCTGTAGAGGATCTGGGGGGGCTCTGACTTGCTGTGTGACTTTACACAAGTCCCATCCTTCTCTGGGCCTCAATTTCATCATCTGTCAAGTGAGGGGCTTGGGCAGAGGGTCTCTGAGGCTGATGAGTAGCAACCAGTCTATCAGGGCCCTCTTCCAGGAGGCTACAGGATAGGAGAAAGGTCAGCCAGGGAAGGAGGAATGCAGAAAAATGCCGAGCATTTCAGAGGTCTGGAGGACTGGGGAATGTTTTGACAGCAAAGAGGTCATCCGTGACCCTGGTAAGCAGAGGGTGTTTGGAACGGAGGGAGCGGAAGTGGCTTTGGAAAGGGGCCAGGAAAGGGCTGAGCCGGAGACAGTAGGAGAGTGGGGACACGAAAATGGGGGGAGGAAGGCTGTCCGCCTAGGGCAGCGATGGATAATGAGATGAACAGGCTGCCCCGGATTGATTGGTATTGCCTGCCCAGAGCCTTGTGTTGAGAAACGGTCCAAAGCCTGTCAATCAGAGGGAATCGAGCCACAATTGATTAGCGATGGCTGCTGAGGACACAGCAAGTAGCTGGGCAGCATGTAGGTGGCCGTCCTTGCTTAGAAGGGTCTTGGGTTGAAAGTGGTGGTCTGGGTGACTTGACTATGGAAGGGGAGCCTCAGGAATTGGGAATTGTCGGGGGAAATACCTCTGGCTCCAAGAACTTTTCCCCGACCCTTTGCTAGAATTAAGGTAGGTTGCCTCATGGGAAGGTAGTGTTGCCTAATGGTCAGGAGCTGGGGCTTCAGCGTCAGACAGACAGCTAATCTGACAAATTGCTTGTCCTTTGAGCCTGTTTACTCATATGTGAAATGAGAGTGAAGGAATGCCTGCTTGCAAGGCAGCTGCGTGGCAAAGCTGAGAGCTGATGCTTTGTTACGATTGCGCCCTCGTTCCGTGGTAGCTCTGTTTGTGCCCTGATGGCGGTGGTGGTATTCTCGGTTTCCCTGAGAGCAAGGCCTGTGTCTGAGTTGCTTTGGGGCCCCCGTCACCCAGCCTGGGACTAGGACGACTCAGGGACTTCCTGATTCTTTCCGGAGGATCAAATGAAACAGGCTCGTGGTTGGTGAGGCAGCGAATGGGGTCACTTTGGGATTCTCTCAGCAGGAGCTGGGCCTCCTGTTAGGTGGAGGCCCGAGGGCGAGGGTTGGAGGGCCAGGGGCCAGAGCTGAGGATCGGGTTGGAGGCGTTGTAGGCCCGAAAGAAGCCTTGGGGTTGTCAAGATCACTCCTTCACTCAGCAAATATTGAGTGCCAGCTGCATGCCGGGCTCGGGATGACCAAGCAATGAGTCCCTGCTCACCTGGATCTCAGTCCAGGGGGACCGGGTACACCTGTAAGTTCTTGTATGACTCATCCCTCTCAAACACACACCCCATTCTTTTTCAGAAGAGGAAACGGCTCAGAGAGGGACAGTGACTTGCTCGAGTCCAATCCAGAGAGAGAGATGTCGGTGTCCGAGACTCCTCCTGGCTCGTGGAGGAGGCGGCAGAGCCACTGGAGGCCGAGGGCTGTAGGACAGAAGCTGGGAGGGAGCAGCACAGGCCCCGAGTGGGTAGAGGACGTGGTGCTGTCCCCTGGGCCCTGGTTCCCGCTCCCCACAGCGCAGGAGCCCCTGAGTCAGGCCATGCCTGGGAGGGGGAGCCCATAGCCCTGCCAGGGCCTCTCCTGCCCTGGGACCAGCGATGCCCGGTCCTAGACTGTCCTCCTGTGGCTCTTCCCTCAGAGCCAGTGAAGGAGGCAGGGCAGGCACCAGACTTCTCCCATCTCCGCTCGCAGGACATGGTCTAGGGAGGCTGGCCCTGGCCGGTCTGGATCCTGCTCTATCCAAGATTGTATGTGAGGCTGAAGAGCAGTTTCCATTGGACAGATAAGTCCATAGCATCTGAGAGAGGATCATGAGGGACGGGCAGAGGCTCCTAACACACAGGAGTGTGGGGAGCTCATTCGTCCTGGTGATGGGCCTTGGAGGGATCTCTGGAGACCTTCCTTCTCGCTCTGGCCTCACTGCTTCCCAGCTGAGTGATCTGGTGCCCCTGGGCCTCTGCTCCTGGGGAGGAGCCCTGGGGATGGTTAAAACCACCGCCACTGGTGAAAACCACGCTTCCCCTCCCGTCCCTCTGCCTGCTCGGGGCCCTCTCACGTGGTTGGGGTGAGTGGGGGCCTCGTTCCAACTCTCCCTCCTGATCTGTTTCCCCACCATAGAGCTGGCTCATCCCCTCCTTTCCCAACCTTCTTGACCTCAGTTGTGGTCAGAGTTTCCAGAGGACCCTTCCCATGGGCCCTGCTCTGTGTCATTGCTGCAGCCCAGGCATTATTAGTCTCAAAGTGGGGAGGGGACTTCCCTGAGACCGTGCAGGTGGTGGGAGGCAGAGCTAGGATTCGAACCCGGGTCTGCTGGATTCAGATTGCCTTTGTGTGATACTATTTGAGAAATCAACTCCCCCCTTCGCCACTGGCCTTTACCCCACCCTGACTCTCCTTAGGCTGCTGGCTGTTTCTGGGTCGCCCTCCTCCTTACTTCTTGGCCTCTGTCACTATACAGATGGAGGAAAGCAGAGCAGGCTGGGGCTGTGCGAACCACCCGGGTTTGAATTCTGACTCCAACCCTTCACTCATTGTATGTGGCCTTTGTCTGATGACTTCACCTCTCTGAGCCTCAGTTTCCTAATCTGTAAAGTGGGGATAATATCCACCTCACAGGATTGCACTGAAGATTCAGTATGAAAATGGCATGGTTCTCCCCCAGCAAGTGTTAGCATTGAAGTGAAAAGTTTGGGCTTTGGATTTGAAAATATGAGTTCGATCTTGGCTCTTGAACTTGCTGGCCCTGAGGACTTGATTATGTCATTGTGCCTCTATGTACCTGAGTGTCTTTGTAAGTGGGTATAGTAGAAGTGTCTGCCTCATAGGTTCTCGTGAGGATTAATGAGAATGTTTTATGTAAAGCTTCTTAGCACAGTGCTTGGCGTGTACTGGAAAATGTTAGCCTCTTATTAAAAATAAAAATAATGGTGGCTGGCCCCGTGGCCTAGTGGTTAAGTTCAGTGCGCTCCGCTTCAGTGGCCTGGGTTTGGTTCCCGGGCACAGACCTATATGACTTGTTGGTGGCCATGCCGTGGCCGTGACCCACATACAAAATAGAGGAAGATTGGCACAGATGTTAGCTCAGGGCGAATCTTCTTCAGGAAAAAAATATAATAACAGTAGATGGGTGGGACCCCAGTGCCCCTTGCTGGGTCTTCTTAGGCAGGGGGCTGGTGAGAGCTGTTGCTGTGGCGGGCCTGCCCAGCAGGGTCTGAGGGCCTGTCGTCCTGCCCAGAGCTGCCTGAGAACTGGACGGACACCCGGGAGACACTGCTCGAGGGGATGCTGTTCACCCTCAAGTACCTGGGCATGACGCTGGTGGAGCAGCCCAAGGGCGAGGAGCTGTCGGCTGCCGCTGTCAAGAGGATCGTGGCCACGGTGAGCCCCAGTCAGGATGGGGCGGGGGTGGGGAGCGTGCAACAAGACCGGCTTCTTCCCAGGGTGCCTCTTGTCCCCTGCTTATTGCCCCTATTGGGTGTGTCTGAGCCGCCTCTGCTTGGGGTCCCTTGCATCCAGCTTAGGGATTCTGGGAGAGGGGGCCGTTGGGCTTGCAGGCTCAGGGTCACTGTCCTCTCCAGCTGTTGTATCCATGGCCTCTCCCAGCCTCTCCTCTTCTAACTCAGGCCCCTGCCTAAGTGTGGGTCACTTATCGGGAGGGGTAATGGGAGGTTGCTGTCACCCAACCACTCGCCCTGTGGCTTGAGGGACAAGGTAGCCCACCAGAGACTGTTCCCCCTCCCCTGCTGCGAGTGAGCATGGGCCCTATAAATCCATCTCCTGTGGTGGCCTTAGACCCCTCAGCTCAGGCCCTGGCAGGGGCAGTGGGTGGAGCAGAGAGTCCCCATCCTGCTGGCTTGTGCTCAGAGTCTGAGGTCCCTCCTAGCTGTGTGTCCTTGGGCAAGTCCCTCAACCTCTCTGAGTCCGTCTCCTCCTGGGGAGAAGCCGTTCTGCTGTGAGGATGGCTCGAGGTCCAGTGCTTGGCGGAGAGCAGGTGCTCTGGGAGCAGCAGCTGTCTGTGCCTTTATTAGCGGAGGCCGCTGGCCGAATTGTCTTCCCACTGCGCCTGCCAGGAACCTGCGCTGAGACCTCACGTGGGCCTCCCATTGGGCGTAGACAGTTAGGTGTAGCCCACGCAGGTGGGTCCCAGGTGAGGCAGGCAGGCCCCTCTGACCCATGTCTGCCCCAAGGCCAAGGCCAGCGGAAAGAAGCTGCAGAAGGTGACTCTCAAGGTGTCTCCACGGGGGATTATCCTGACTGACAACACCACCAAACAGCTCATTGAGAACGTGTCCATCTACAGGTAGGCCCAGCATCGCCCACATCCACTCTGACACTGGGGCAGTGGGGGCATGCCCTGTCTGAATCTAGGTTCCACCACTTCCTGTCGGGGCACCCTGGGAGCCTCTGTCCTCATCTGTAAATGGGATGGGAGCAGATCCTGCCTTGGTGTGCTGTTACGAAGCATTGGGTGCACAGTGCCTGGCTCACAGGGAACACTTGGTTAGGTGGCAGTTGCCACTGTCCTCATCACTAATTGCAGCTGGCAGCTGAGGCCTGATCAACTGGGGAACCCCCTGCCCCCTAGCCTGCTGCTGAGTCAGACTTGGAGCAGAGAGCTGCAGAGTCACTGCCTTTTCCTTCCGCTGTCAGTGCAGCAGCTCAGCCCTGGACATCTGGCCAGGCGTCCAGGGAGGCCTCAGGCAAAGTCTGCGGCCAGACGGTATCTACAGTATCTATGCTCTGTAGCAGGGGTGGGGGGACCCTTCCACAGGGAGGCAGGGGCCAACCCTGGAGCGTCAGGCTATCCCCACCTCTCACTTGGCTGGTCAGTTGTAGGATTTCAGAGCTGGAGGGGACGGCCCAGGTCCATTTCACAGATGGAGAAGCTGAGGCCTAGAGAGGGAATTGTGTAAGGCCTTATGGTAAAGTAGTGGCTGGGACCAGGACACTGAGGCCGGAGTTCTGTGCAGTGGGCCCCTGGCTGTCAAGCTTCCCTTCACCCACTTACTTTGTCTCCAGGCAGGGGGGCTCAGCCGTCTGGAGCACTGGCCAGTACTGGGGCTGGGTGGATGTGTGTTGGGGATGGTTTTAGAGTTTCTGGCTGGTGTCTTCCTGTCACCTTGTGATTCCACCTGCCGCCTCTAACCAGCGTTTTCTGAGTACCTACTCTGCTGGGGTCTGTGTTAGGTGAGGGATCAGACCCAGCCCCTGCCCTTAAGGAGCTTCCTGTCTAGGATGGAATGGAGGAGAGAAATAGGAGATCAAGTTCAAGCATTTCCCAAGAGGGCAGAGAAGGAGGGGCCTGCCTGGGGAAACCTGGGAAGGCCTCCCAGGGGAGGTGGCAGGAGGCTGGATCCCCTGAGGTGGAGAAGAGGCAGCTGGGGAGCCAGCACTCCCGCCCTCTGCCCGCCTGGGGGGTCTTAAGTGGTGCCGATCCCTATGTCAATGCCTGTGATTGATGGTGGGCCCACGCAGGGTAAGGGAGGCTGCTGAGTTCATGTCCCACCTCCAGGCTGCCAGCCCCTCTCCTGATTGAGGTTCTCAGGATGACTGGAGGTGGTGGGGAGGGATCAGACAAGCGGAGGCAGGCATTCCAAGAGGAGGGAGCCGCTGTGTCTCCCTCCTGCATCCACTGGGGTTCCCGGTCTGGCCATCTTCACACACCCCCCACCCTCCTCCCAGCTCCGCCACCGCTGGCGGCAGCCTCAGGAGAACTTGTCTCTCCCAGTCACCCTGGGAGAGATGGGACTGGCACTTCTCTGACTTCTGGAAAGAGGCCTGATCAGATGGCAGGTAGGGGAGAGGGAGGCCGGGGAAGGGCAGCAGTGGGGGCAGTGTCCTGTGTCCCCTTCCAGCTGGTCCTTTAAGAGGCAGTGCGGCGGTGGTTACAGCCCCTGGAGTCTGCAGGTGAGTTCAGGTCTCAGCTCTGCTGCTCACTTGGTGGTCTGAGATAGTTAACCTCAGTTTTCTCATCAGAAAAGTGGGGATAACAATCGGACCTCTCTCAGAGGGCAGCTTGGAGAATTAAATGAGGTGATGTCTAGAAAGCTCTTGGCGCATCACCCGGTATACAGTCAGGACTCAGCTATATTACTATTTTGGGGTGGCTCAGTAGAGGGGGACGGTGTCCTTCCTCCAGGCTTTACCTCCACTCCTTCCAGTCTCACCTGGGCGCCCCCGTAGAGCGCCCGGGACACCAGCCCAGAGGCCAAGGCTGTCTCTGCCGAGTCTCGCCCTGGTGGGGGCGATAGCAGGCTCTCTAGATCTCAGGGGAGATGCCCTATGGCCCATCCTGGATGTAATCAGGCCCCTGTGCCTGGGTCTGGTGACACTTCCCACTTGCCTGCAGGATCTCCTACTGCACAGCGGACAAGATGCATGACAAAGTGTTTGCATACATCGCCCAGAGCCAGCACAGCGAGAACCTTGAGTGCCACGCCTTCCTCTGCACCAAACGGAAAATGGTCAGTGGGGAGGCTGGGGCTGGAGTGGCTCGAGCCCTGCCTTGGCAGCCCTGCCTTTGGGGGCCCTCTCTCATCGGGGAGGCAGGACCCAAAGGTGACAGTCACTTAAAGAAAAGTGTGAAATCCCTGGGAACCCGAAGTTGCTCCAAGTAGGGCCACAGTCAGAGTGGGCTGCCTGCCTGGCCTGTGGGCAGTGACGAGCCCATGTCCCCAGTCAGTGCCTTGGGCCCCTTCCTTTCTGTAAAGTGATTAGTTGTATTTGTGATTTTGGGGGGTCTCCTGTCAATAGTATGATCTGGGGGTGCAGGGCCTTGTAGGGACTAGTCTTGGGGACTGGTGTTTGGGGGTCCCAGGTGGAAGACAAGGGTGAGAGCCCTCCGAGGCCCTGGCTTGCTGTGGCCGGGCAGGAGAGGAGTGGCCATTTTTGGGTCCCTACTGTGTGCCGGTTTCAGTGGTAGGCTTATGAGGTATCTTCTCCTTTAACCCTCACAACAGCTCTGCCAAGGCGGGGCTGGTACTCTCTTCGTTGTTTTTATTCTTATGTTTAATGAGGAACCAGCCTCACGGAGCTCAGCTGTCTCCTGAAGATGGCACAGCCAGCCAGGCAGGGTGAGGGTTTACACGCAGGTTGCCTCCCCTCCCTGCGTGACTGTGAGGGGCCAGAAGCTCCTTGCCCCGTTTCCAGGCCACCCCCGACCACATCTGGCTGACAAGCGGGCACCTCAGTGGCCTCTGGGGCAGGCGGTGGAGTGAGTCCACCTTTGGTGTGGGAGCTTTTGATTGTGAGGCCCCCGCGGTCTGAGCATCCTGCTGCGAGGAGCTTCCTGACGTTTATTGATTTGGTATCGGCCTCCGTTAACCTCTGTATGTGGAGCTCAGAGCCCCAGTCCCCGTGCCCTGTGGTCCTTGGGGCCAAGGAGACAGGATCCTCTCCCTTCCCCCATCACAAGGACACATCAGGGACCTCACAGTCTGTACGTGGCCCCCAGGCTTCCTGCTACCCCTCAGGGCCCCCTCTCCAACTTCAGAGCCAGCCTCTTCCCATCCCCTCCTCTGCTTCGTCACGTTGCTATTTCTGACTCTCCCCCTCCGGCCTCCCTCTCATAAGGCCCCTTGTGACTGGGTCCCTGGGTAAGCCAGGATAATCCCCCATCTCATAGTCCTTGACTTAATCACGTCTGCAAAGTCCCTTTTGCCACGTAAGGTAGTGCTCATAGGTTCCAGGGGTTAGGTTGTGGGCATCTTAGCCACGGTTCAGCCTACCACAAGTCTTAGAGGAGGAGACGGTCTCGGGCTCTAGAAGCTGTGTGACTGTGGATAAGACCCTGTCCTTCTCTGGGCTGCGTGCCCATCAGCAGAGTGAGGAGGTCAGCTCAGTGACCTCCAGGATTGTTCTGAAAAGCCCTGGTTGCTTCTGTGCACCTTGCTTCTTTCCTGCAGAGGCAGTGTCACTGGCCACTCACTCAGGGCTTCATGATGCCCTAGGTCTCTGAGCTGTGGTGGCTTCTCTCCCATAACAGCCTTGTTCCCACAGATGGTGACTGTTGGCTTTGTCTCATATGAGGCCACACAGACTTAAAAATACAAGTTCATTGTGTCCCCATTGTTGGTCTCTTCCTCCCCACTGGCCAGAGCAGGCGCTGGCAGGGCAGCTGGCCCAGGGCCATTGCTGCCGAGGGGGCCCCGGCTGGGAGGGCTCCCAAGGCACAGAGGCTTCCTCTGGGGTGGGGAGGTCGGGGTAAGAGAGAGTGGATGCTGACCCCGCGCCTAAGGGAGGCCTGGCCCGGGGCCAGCAGACTTCAGACAGGCTTGAACAAGAGGTCGGTTGCTGAGGAAGCCAGCCCTGTCACTGCCAGCTGAGCCCTGATCGGGCAGAGGGCAGGGCTCCTGCTGGACACGTAGGCTCACTCGTGGGCCACTTTTCTTGTCACATTCTCTTCTGCGGTCAGGGGCTGACTGGCCGGATCGCGGCCTATCCTTCTCCACCCTTTCCCACCTGGCCTCCCCACTTGAGGGAGCCCTGGCGAAGCCCCTTGGAGAGAGCCCGGCCCAGGGCCGTGTAAATAGACCAGCCGATGCGAGGGTCCTGTTCTTGTGTCCCCTGAGGCCTCAGGCAAGCCCAGGCTGGCAGTGTGTCGATGGCCTTGTGGCCTGGCCATGGTAGAGACCCAAGATTCTCAGGCTTGGTGGACATTCCTGAGGAGGAGGCAGAAGGCAGAACGCCCCTGGTCCTGCAGCTCACCTGCTGGCCGGTCCCGCCACAGGTGTTTGCTGCTGCCTGTCCTGGGCTGGGCCCTGTGTTGGACACTGGGCCCCTGGGATCAGCCGTGGAGACACAGACACGGTGGCGGTCGGGATTCAGCAGCTGGAATGCAAGGGGCTCGGTTCTAGGGTGGAGGTTATTAAGTCTCCCTGGAGGTCAGCAAGACTTCCCGGAGAAGGAGCCATTGTGAACTGCTTTGCGGGATGAGTAGGAGGAGTTTGCCAGGCTGAGAGAAAGGGGGTGGGTGGTGAGAGCAGTGCTGCCCAGGAGTTAGCGCGTGCGAGGACGCAGAGGTGCCAGATTAAATGGTATGATGGTGGTGGAGGACGCGGATGTCACTGGAGCCTGGGTGGCGCAGTCGGCCTGCAGGAGAGCCTGCATCTGGGTGTTGGCAGAGCCCTCCCTCCTTTCAGCCAGGGACCCACGTCTCCATGTCTTCACCCATCCTGGCCTGGCTGCCTGAATGAGCAAGAAGCCTGTGAGCCACCCAGGGTTGGGGGTGAAGGGGGCCCTTTCTGGGTCGCCCACCAGTTCTGCTCAGCTCGGGTGGCACATCCACCAGGCCTCCGCTCCCCAGTGGCTCCCGCCGGCACAGCCAGGAGAAGCTTCTCTACAAAGAACCGTTTCCGCCTGCGCTCCTGGGAGGCCTCAGCGCCTCCTGCCTCTGGGCTCTGAAGTGAAGGTGCTGTGGCTGCGTTGACGGGGAGCTGGGGTTGCCGTGCAGGTGAACCGCGGGGTGGGGCCGAGCTGTTCTCCCTCACGTGGCCGTTGGCATTCCTCGGGTAATCCTCCTGGGCAAGGATTTATGCTTCTCAGGCAGTGGGGCCGTAGGAGACATGTGGCCCGACTTGGTCTGAGTCCCGAGCTGCGATCTGGGGTCTGGGGGTCCTCATCCAGGTCTGCAGCCCTAAGCTAGACCTGCTTCCTTTGAGGAGCTAATGGGCTGGTTACTGGGAACAAGACAGGGACACAAAAAACTGAGCGACGTCGAACCTGGTCCTGGTAATAAGACAGATCCAGAGGCCAGAGGCGGTCAGAGGAGAGGGAGGCATCCGGCCTGTGGACCGAAGGAAGGAAGACTTCCCGGGGAGCAGGCCCAAGCAGCCCTTCCGTCTAGGGCTGCCCGGATTCCTGCAGCCGTCCCAGAGAGCGGCCCGCCCCCCCAGGTCCTGCCCAGCCCGGGCTTGCAGCCACCTGCACATCCACATCTTGGGTTATATTTGGTTTAACTTGCAGCTCGGGACTTCAGGGCGAGACGATGGGAATGTATGCAAATGAACAAGCAGATTTATGCAAAAACGGTATCAGGCTTGTGCCCCCCCCCCCCGATTTCCTGGAGGCAAAAATAATGGTGTTTCCATCTCCCTGCCACGTTGGGTGACCAGCCCTTGCTTGGGTGTATAGTGATCTGACTCCAGCTGGTAATTAGCCCGTATTTTTAGTTCATGGACAATTCTCAATGGTAACTGGGTCTATTAAACTTGATTCAGACGTGACAGCTGAAATTGTAAACAGCTGTGAAGAGTTTCATACTTAATTACCATATTTAAGTTTTGCCATAAAGCGCCCGTACTTCCATCAAAAATGTAAATGACGGAGACATTCAAATGAGATTTTATAGTTCGTGAAGTTTAATTGGCACAGATCAGTCAGCTTGTTTAGGGATTTTTACATTTAAAAAATAAAAAGAGTTTTAAAGGCAGTAGCCACGAATTCATTTCTCAATTAAGTCAAGTTGTCTGGTGGAGTGGAAGTGGGTGCGGCGGAGGCTGGTTAGGCCTGAACTTGGGCTCTTGAGAGAGTCTGGTGCTTTCTCCCTGGCTGGACTGTCAGGAGGAAACTAGACGTCGCTTCGGGCTACAGCCCTGAGCTCTGGGACTTCCACTCCAGTTCCTGGCCGATGAACCCTGAGCTGGAGTCCGAGAGAGGAAGGGGTGGGTTGAGTGCGGGCTGGGGTAGGTCCTGGCTGGAGCGTGAGGACCACCTTGGCCAGATGCAGTTCAGCCTGGCGGTTGCCCCTGTGGCGGGCTTCGGCCTGCTCTGCGAATCAGGGGTGTTTAGACTCGATTCCTGCCTTCAGGGAGCACCCAGATGGGGTGCCATGGGCATGTGAGCTGATGACACTTTCATATGCATGATGCCAGAGAGAGGGAGGTGTGGCTGTAGGAGCCCAGAGCTGGTGACATGAGAGGTCGTGACATTGGAATTGGGTTTGAAGGGGTGGATGGGAGTTCCCCAGGGATGAAGGGCCAAGGGGTGGCCCCTCCTTACAGGTGGGTTACGGCACTAAGTGGTTTTGGTCCTCTGCCATGGGTACTCGTTGGCGTCTTGCTCCTGCCAGGAAAGGTGTATGCCTCCTACTCCCTTTTGGGACCCAGTTATAAGCCCTCCAACCCTGCATAGTACTAAGAGTCTAACCTTTGCCTCTGCCTGGGGCTCATTCAGGCAGTGGGCAGGCTTTTCCGATCTCTAATTCCAAGGGCTAAATTACTGTGTGGAGTCCTCAGTTAATCAGGGAGGGCTTCTTGGAGGAAGTAAGCCTCACAGTTATTGAATTTAGGGAGGCCCAAAGGGAAGGAAAAACAGTGGAGGTGAACAGTCATTGCGAAGGTGGGGGCTGGAATGAGGGTGGGGAACCCTGGCTGGGCTACAGGTAGTAAAGATGGAGCCCCAGCTGCCTGAGGAGGGTGCGGCCTCATTACACCCCAGGCTGCTTCGGGGACCTGGGAGGGACCAGGCCTCTGCCTGCGCGCATCAGGCATTCCACAGCCTTGGGCTGAGCCAGGGCGGGCCTGGCCTGGAGCCCCGGCCTCCAGTTGAGACTTGCTGTTACCTGCCTGGCACTGTACACACCCCCCCAACTCCGCTTCCTGTTTTTCAGGCCCAGGCTGTCACCCTCACCGTAGCCCAAGCCTTCAAAGTCGCCTTCGAGTTTTGGCAGGTGTCCAAGGAAGGCGAGTCTTGTTCCCGGACACTGTGGGCGGGTGGAGGTGTAGAGGGGGCCGCGGAAGGCTGGCAGAGCAGGGTGGGGCGGGGTGGGGAGTGGATGGTGAAGGCCCTGGAGTCAGGCCTGGACTGACCCCCAGCTCCATCACCTGCTTGGTTTGTGACTTTGGGCAGGTCCCCTCACCCCTCTGACTCTCAGTTGCCCCCTCTGAAGAAATGGGAACAGCTTTGCCCTGAAGGGTGCTTGTGAGGATTAAATGAATCTCAGAGTTCCTCCCCCCGCTGGCGGCCTAGCACCTGCCCCCTGCGCTTGGCCACAGCCTCCCCCTGCCCAGTGATTGCTGTGGACCGAGCGCTGGGGTCGGGGGCTCCAATGTGCTGTGCTTGGTCCCACAGAGAAGGAGAAGAGGGAGAAAGCCAGCCAAGAGGGCGGGGACGTCCTGGGTGGGGGCCGCTGCGACAGCACCCCGTCGTTGAAGAGCCGTGAGTCTTGGGCAGGGGGCGGGGCTGGATTCAGCTGCGATGTGGGGTCTGCCCTTCCTCCAGAGGGCCCCGCTCCCTCCTGGGCTGGGGCAACCTCTTGGTTTTTTGTGTTTGTTTTGTTGCTAAATGAATGATACATGTTGGTCATAGATAAATTAGAAAATGTAGATAAAGGGAAAAGATTACTCATTTTGGTGCGTGTTCTTCCGGATATGTCCCTATGTGTATACATCTCTCTGTATACACTTTACATCCGCTCTTGTGAGCGCTTAAAAAACTTAACACCTGTTGTGAATTTGAGAGTTCCCACCTAAACCCTTAGTGGGGAAGAGTCTCACCCTGTGGGCAGCTGTCCAGCTGATTTGGGAGGGGCCTGAGTGGGGCTCTGGATGGGCTGGCTGATGGGCCTGGAAAAGGCCGCGCCCCAGGAGGGAGTCAGGACCCGGACAGCCCAGAAAGCTCCAGGGTGGGGCTGGGAGGTGAGACCGGAAGCCAGTGGGCTCCTTTCCCCCTGACACACCTGACCCGACCCCTCACAGTGGTTGCCACTGGGAACCTGCTGGACTTGGAAGAGACGGCCAAGGCCCCGCTGTCCACAGTCAGCGCTAACACCACTAACATGGACGAGGCACCTCGACCTCAGGCCTTGAACAGCAGCAGTGTGGTCTGGGTGAGTGGTCATGTGGCCTGGGGACCCCACGGGGACCTAGCAAGCCTCCGCCTGATCCCTGGATGAGGCCTGAGGCTGCTCGGCGTTCGAGCCCTGGGGCCCGTGACTCGCAGGCCTCTGGGAGGGCCAGACCCCGCCCAGCAGCGCTCAGGCCCACGGTAGAGGGATGAACAATGTCCCCTTTGAACCCAGGGCTGTGTCCCCAGCAGGCTTGGCTCCCAGCACAGCTGTCTCCTCACAATGCCCGGCCTCTTGCCTGAGCATCCGCAGCTCTGCCCAGCGCAGGACCAGCCAAAGGCTCCTTTGTTCTCGGGGCAGGCAGTTTGCTCCTGCTGGCCCTCCCCCCTCCCCCCTCTGAATGCGGAGCCTGAGACTCAAGCAGTCGGCTCGGCCATAGGCCCCTGACTCGCTCTGTGACTCAGGGCAAGCCCCCTGACCTCTCTGTGTCTCAGCTTTTTCATCTTCTCAGGGAGGAGGAGGACCCTTACCTGCAGAATCTCCCAGAGGAACCTGATTTTTTTCTATTAAAAATTTCTTTTAATTTTTCACTTGGAAATAATTTCAGACTTATAAAAAAGTTACAAAAACAGTGCAAAAATTTCCTGGTTCGCCTTTCATCCAGATTCCCCAAATGTTTACATCTTACATAACCACATTACAATGATTAAAATCGTTAACATTGATATGACACTATTATGTAATCTCCAGACCTTATTCTCATTTCTCCACTTGTCCCTCCAGTGTCCTTTTTCTGGTCCAGGATCCATTACAGAATCACACATTACTTTCCTTGTCATGTCTCTTTAATTTTAAAAAATCTGGAATGTCGAGGGACTTGAAAAACTGTCAGATCCTGCTGCCTGTTAGGGGCCAGCCAGTGTCCGCCGAGCAGGGGCCAAGAGCCTGTTCTCTGCTGTCTAGGAAGCACTCTTGCCCCCTGTCCATCCTCCCAGGAAGGCTGTGGAAAGAGTCTTGCCCCCTTTTTTTTTTTTTTTCTGGTGAGGAAGATTGTCCCTGAGGTAACATCTGTTCCAGTCTTCCTCCGCTTTGTATGTTGGGCGCTGCCACAGCATGGTTTGATGAGCGGTGTGTAGGTCTACACCCAGGATCCGAACCCATAAACCTCAGACCACCAAAGCAGAGCCTGTGAACCTAACCATCATGCCACCGGGCTGGCCTGTTAGAGTCTTGCCAATTTTTTCCCCCACCTGGGCTGTGGGTCCCTGCCATCGGTTATCCCTCTTGAGCTTAGAATTTTGGCTCGGATTTTGGAAGCGTCTGAAAGCGAGACACTTGCTTCCTCGCCCTCTTCCTCTTGGAATTTGAAAGCTATAGAAATCATCCAGGTCCAGCCCCCTCATTTTACGAAAGGAAAAGCTGAGTCTTAAAGAGGAGCAGTGACTTGCCCGAGATGTCACTTGAGTGGTGGCAGAGCTGGGGACTGAACCCACCCCAGTCTCCAGACTCCCTGTGAAGTGCCCTCTCTCCCGCCCCACATCCCAGGTTTGGGTCCGTGGGTGGTGATATGCTGGTGGCAGTGGCCAGGCGAGAGGCCTACCTGTGCCCATTCCTCCAGGCACCCACCAGACTCCTACGCTTGTCACCTGAGTCCTTGTAGCTTCCCCGGAGCTGGGACAGGCCGGCTGTGAGCACGGGCCCCCGAGGGTTCACATCTCCCGCTTTCTTTTTCCCAAGGAGCTGGATGATGGCCTGGACGAAGCATTTTCAAGGTAACGAGCCGGGCTCCTTGTGCTGGGGAAGGAGGCCTGGCCTTCGTGGGCTGGTCTCCCGGGCCCTTTGCCATGCCTGAGAACATGAACTCTGACCTTCTCCAGAGCAAAAATCTCAACTCGAATACTTCCAGGGATGGGGAGCTCACTATCTGGGGTTGGCCGGGTCTGCTGAAAATTTCTTGCTGTGGAATCAGAAACAGTTCTTCTGGCTGCCGGAGCAGCCTGAGCCAAACTAAACACACGGCAGCTCAGGTTGGTTTCCTCTGCCTACACTTAGTGGAGTCTTCACAAACTGGCTTTTTCACAGGCTTTGTTCCCTCCAGAGGTTTTGCATTTCTGGAAAGGGGCAGGGAGAAGGCAGTGCTTAATTAAGCCCACGGGGGAGGAATGTCAGGCCACAGTGAGGAGAGCTCTTGATCTAGTCTGAGGGTGGTGGCATTTCCCTATTTTCCCTGTAACCATGGCCACCTCCACCTTGGGGACGTGCCACCAAGAAGGCTGCAGCTGAGTGGAGGCCTGGGCAGCTCAGGGGTCGGAGCGCTGGGCCCTGGTCAGTCAGGCCTCCTTTCTCCCTGGGACCCTCAGCAGCCCCCTACAGCCCCCTCTCGTCTCCCCGACCCCTTCCCACCGGGGCCTGGTGGAAGCCCCTCGGTCAGCCCCGGGAGGTGGGGGCCGCACACGTGGCCCCTTCACGGCAGCAGAGACGTGCTTTGTACCATCTTCCCTGCTTCCTCGGCGGCCTCCAGCTCCCGTGTTTGAAGACAAGCTCCCGTCTGCAGAGACTCAAGGAGCGAGTGCGCTTGGTTTTAACAACTTCGAAAATCAGCAAAGCGTTAAACAGGAAATAACACCTCCCCACAGTCCCCGGCCCAGACTCTGGGGCTTCACTCAGGCTGATCCTATGCATGTACATTGTTGTGGGTTGATCAGCTCGTCGTATTTGCACCTGGGCTCCTGATTTTCACTTAACACTGACTTAGCAGGAGCGTCTCTCTCTGAAAATCCCCATGTGAGCAGCTCGTGCATCGACTGCCTCACTTTCTCCTAAGGGCGTGGGCCGTGACTTCCTTCACTCTTCCCCTCGTCTTGGGGCATTTAGGTTGCCTCACTCAGTGAGTTTATTTTTTGAGCAGCGCTGCGGTGAACCTGGTTGCAGCCGGCAGCCTCCCCGTGGCTGCGCTGTCTCCCTCCCTCACTGCCCCCTCCCTGCCCTGGCCAGCGCTGCCGTTCCTCCTCGTTCCTGGTGGGGCCGTGGACGGGGTGGTGCCCTGGCCTCTCTCTGTGGTGGGAGTGCCACTGTCTGCCCCACAGTTTTCTGAGCTGGTTGACCCTCCAGGGTGGGCTCCCTGGTCAGAGGCTCTGCGTCTCCTGACATCCGGGACCTTCTTCTCTGGCCCTGCGTCCTGGCATTTCCCCACCCGTGCCCTCTTGCTTCTGACCCTGGGGCTGGCCAGGCTGGCCTGTGTCCTCAGGCCCCTGCCAACTCCTGGCTTGGGGCCTTGGCTCACACAACTCTGCTTTCCAGGCTTGCCCAGTCTCGGACGAACCCTCAGGTCCTGGACACTGGACTGACAGCACAGGACATCCATTACGCACAGTGCCTCTCACCTGTCGACTGGGACAAGCCTGACAGCAGCGGCGCTGAACAGGACGACCTCTTCAGCTTCTGAGGGCCTGGTGACAGACCAAAGCCACCTGTGGTGGGGGGCCGCTCCAGGCCCCCCAGGCACCGTCTTCAGTCCGTCAGCTGCAGCGTCAGCCTGTAGACCAAAGCTGAGGCCGGTCCAGCAGGGGAAGGAGACATTTGTTTCAAGCCCTCTCTTTCTCTAAGGACTGAAAGATGCCTTGAATATTTATTCAGTGACTCCTGGTTCAACTTGGAAGCTGGTTTTGTGTCAGGCACGAGCACAGTGTCATAACCAGCTTCCTCCCATCTCTTGAGCAGGCTGCGCTCTGCTATGGGTGTCAGGACAGTGACCAAAGTATTCCTTGTTCTTTCTCTCTCCAAGGACCTGGATTTCCCTGGAGGTGCCCCTGCTGCTGACTGAACATAGTCGGACCATTCACTTCTGTCATCTTTGAGTGTGGGAGGGCACCGCAGCCTCAGGAGAGGACCACGTCCTCGGGCAGGGACCCCGCAGGCCCAGGCTGGAGCCCCTGGACCTGGGGGCTGTCAGCAATAGAGGAGCAGCCCCTGACCAAAGACAACACGTAGCTGGCACTTTAACACACTCACAGCATTGTGGCCCCCGGGCCCGCGACGGCACTGCCCTGCTCAGAGCTTTCTTTCTGCCCTTCCTCTGCGGGGAGGGGCCCAGAGTCCCACTAGATGGTCCCCGTCAGTGCTCAGAGCCATGAAACTGGCTGCCCACAGACTCCCAGAGTCTCCCTGGAATGGTGGGGATCATCTCTGTGTGATTGCCCTCCTTCAGGTCCCCTACCACTCCCTTCCTCCCCTATACGGACGAGGTTGTACCCATTCATCCGTCTGTGTGTCTGTGTGTGAGTGTCCCTGAGCCCCGGCTCCCGTACCTCCTGGGATAATGTGTGAAACCTAACCCATCGACTCGTCTAAGGATATTTTGTTGCCATTTTACAGATGAGGACCTGAGGGGTAAGCTGTGGGTGGAGGTAAGAAGGGGTGGAGCCCAGATCTGATGCCAAAGCTGCCTTCTCCCTGGGCCCCTCAGAACTCACACCTTTTTTTCTAGCTTTGTTGTCTTCCCAGGAACCAAAAACCCCAGCTATTTTCTGACCAAAATGTGTTTCATAACAAGCCATCTGGTGGCTTTCCACGCGGAGCTGGCATGCGCCTCCGTGCCCTGCGAGCCATCTCGCTGCCGAGTTCCGTGGAAGTGCAAGTTCTCGAAGTCTGCTGGTTCATGGGGTGAAACAAAACCAAAGTCCGCAGCGCCCCGCTGCCCTTCCCTGACACCCCCATCCCGGTCGGGACAGGCCAGCGGCGGCCTGTCTTCAGAGTCTCCCTTCTACCCGGGACCCCCGGCCTCCTGAACCCAGCAGAGCTGCCGGCACCTCTGCCAGTCTGAGGTGCCTCCCAGGCCTGGCTTTGCTGAGCTTGTCACTCACTGGTGATGGATGGAGCAGGTTTCACCAGCCCAGGAAACACACCCCATTGTTTCAGATCTACTTACCTAACCGAGCGTTTGAATCAAACACAAAGACACAAGTGCCTGGGTGAGGGGTGGGGTGGATGTGTAGGGTCTCCACCAGAATGTGGGGAGGGCTTCCTTTCCCTGCCCAGCTCCTGCACCCCGTGGCCTGGCCCCCAGACCTCCTTGGTATCGGCCCCTGTGTTTGTTGTGGGCCTGACACGAGCTCTCCTTGGCACGAGGATCCAGGAGCTCCTGTGAAAGTCTGTGCTGTGTTTGTGTGGGTCGGACCGTGGCCTTCATCTCAGCCTCCGGCCAATGGCGGTGGGTGTGCTGGCTGCATGTCTGCTGAGAAGTCTTGTGCTTTCCTTTCTGTTGCTGTAAAGGAGTTTCTAATGAGGAAAATAAGTAATAAACATTCTCTTTTTGAAATACGAGGAGCACGTGCGTGGAGCGGCCTGGCAGCCATGGGGGCAGTGCCGGCATCCAGCAGCTCCTGCCCTTTGCTGGTTGGAGCAGCAGTGATGACAGGCCCGGACGTGGGGGATAGTGGTCTGTGGTCCCCTGGTTGAAGCCCAGCAGTTGATGAGGTTGTCTCTGGGTAGCCCAGCGAGGCCACCCCAGTGAGCCAGTGTGTTGACGCTGAAGAAGTCTCTGAAAACCTCAGTCAGGGCTTCCTGGCCAGGGGGCTGGTTATGATTATGTGCTTGTGATTATGTGTTTGTCTCCACATGTAAATTTTTCTTGGAGAGGGTGTCCATCATTTCCATCACGTTTTCAAGGGGATCAACAACATTTATTTATTTGACAGACTTTGTGCCCAACACAAACTGCGCCTGGGCTCTACAGGGGATGGCAGTCCAGACAGGGTCCATATGGACTCAGGATGTAAGGCTTGGCTGTGACTGGGGACTGGCATGGGAGATGGCAGAAAGTGTGTTTCAGTGACTTGGGAGACCCAGGGTCTAGCTCTGGCTCCTCCACTTGGGGGCTGTGACATTGCATCAGTCACTTCTTTCCTTGAGCCTCAGTTTCCCCATCTGGGACAAGGGCACAACAAGCTCTACCCTTCCTACCTCCCTGGGTTTTGTGACACCCAGAGGTAACCGTTATATTGCTGGTGGTGTCCCTAGACGGTTCAAAGTTTATCTCAGAGCAAAAGGCAATTTGGGTCAAAAACAAGGAAGTTGAAAGAAAATTGATAATAACGCTGCTGCTGTTGACCAAGCTCTTAGACAGCTCTGTGCCCGGAGCTCAGCTCCCTTCTCATCACAAGGGTCCTGTTGAGCCCAGAGGATGTTAGCTCCCTTCCTGCTGCGGGGAGGAAGGCCGACATGCCTCTGGCACTTGGTGGAGCCACAGCCCAGACTCAGATCTGTGTGACCCTTGACCCTCCCACATCCTGGCCTCCCACCAGCCACATCTGCAGTCATGCTGCCCGTGGCCTGTCGAGCCGCACAGTGCGCACCACAGAAAGGCTGCTCTCTTCAGGCTCCAGTGTGGGTCTCCTCAGACATCTATCTCTTTGTCCCTTTCAAACAGTGATATTTAAAATGTCTGGAACCCAGAGGCAGATGCGTCTGATGTCAGCCGTCAGGCAGACTCGCTGTGAATTCTGAGAGCATCGTAGATGACTAAGAAATTCTCTCCTTTCTTCTCCCATAATCTGAAAAGACACCCAACAAGTTCATCTTTCGGTTTAAATTTGGCCAATATCTTTAGTCTCCGGATGTCTCAGATTATGAATCCTGAGCACCCACCATCTCCCCTTTCATGCATAACGGATGAAGCCAGGAAGAACAGAGTCGCCTTGCAGATTTGGTGTGACCTTCACCTGCACTGGAAGATGTTGGCATCTTCTCTCCCAGGAGCCACCATCCCAATTAAATCTCTGCAAGGCCTTCTCAACAAACCGGGATGGGGGATCGGCGGATTCATGCCCTTGGTGCTGGCGTGGGGTCTGGTCTTCCTCCGGCCACTCCATGCGTATGGACCACGGCAGGGGGCCCGTTTATTTATTAGGAAGCAAACCTTTCTCCAGTGCCTACTACGTGCCAGGCCCTGTTAGGTCCTTTACACCTAAGGTCAGTGACGCCAGTCCTAACAACCTATGAGGTGGGTGGTCCTAGTCCCATTTTCAAGATAGGACAACTGAGGGCCAGGGAGGACAAGTGAGTTGGCCAAAGTCTCAACAGCGAGTAAGCAGTGGGCCTGGGATTCGAACCCCGTCTGTCTGACTCCAGAGCTTGTTTATTCCTACGGCACCACCCACCCCGGGGAGTGGAGGGCCGATCCAAGCCAAGCTGCCCAGGCCCTGCTCTGCCTGCCAGCAGCCCAGCAATGGGGAGCTTCTCCACGGCCAGCAGTTGTCTCCACAGGCAGAGTGGCAAGGCCCAGGCTGGGCTGGGTCCCTAAGGCGGGGCCTCCTTCACAGACAGGTCAGAACAGACCCTTCCCACCTCTTCCCGGGTGGCAGCCCTTTGGGGCACTTCTCTGCATTTGCCCAGTTTAGGACTCGGCAGGCCGTGTCTCTTCACATCAGGACCCTTCTTGCCCCCAGTAGGCATTGCCCAGTCTGTGAAGGGGGTGAGGGTGTAGAATGAGCATGGGGTCCCTGTAAGGAGGAAGGCTTCCTCTGGAGTAGACTCAGTGTGTTGCTGGCAGTGAATGCCAGCCTCGGAGGGGCCGGGAAGGAGAGGCACACGTCTCTGAAACAGGCAGCGTCTACACAGGTCAGCTAGTCTAAGCTGCTGCACAGTGACGATGCTATAAGCATTATTAGCCTATTTTCGAGACAGCAAAACTGAGGCCCACGGAGCTTATGTGACCTGCCAGCCTCACACAGCTGGCAAGGGGCAGGCCTGGGGTTCAAAGCCCACATGTTCACTGTCCTGTGGTGGCCCTGCCTCTCTGCAAATCCCTTGGAACATTTGAACAACATGATGACCTTGCTCAGGAGCTTCTGAGCCCCACAGAGAGTAACCTCAGTTAAGTGCCTGGCACACGGATGCTGGGTCAGGTTGGTGCCTTTGCGTCCTGCCAGGACAGATGTGAGTTGTGTCATAAATCCTTGTTGCCAAGCAACAATTCTGACCACCTGCTGAGCCCCAGCATGCAGTGGGGCTGCCAGGGTCTGTCCTGGCCTCTTCACAGTCCACGGGTTGTGGGTCGTGGTGCCCTGGAAAGTTGGGTGAGACATTGGAAGTCAGAGCTGAGGAAGCCAAGGGGGGCTGCCGGGAGAGGGGAGTGTTCCAGCCAGGCCTTGAAAGACGGTAGAAAGGTTGGAGCCTGCCTTCGCTAGCCTCGGAGCTCCGTGAGGTCAGGGCCTGTGGCCCCAGTGCCCACCATAGCATCTGGCACAGAATGGCCGTCAGTGACTCCAGAGAGCTCCTCAAAAGGGGGACAACCAGCCCGGCTTCCTGTAGAAACCTGCTGAGAGAAGAGGCAGCCCTGGGTCCGTAGGCAGACTGGAGCCTCTGCAGCCCAGTGGCCCCTCTGCAGGTTATCCGGTCTGGAGGCAAACTCATCCTGCGGCGAACTCCCCTACGCACCCTGGGCCTCTGCGTGCTGCGTCTGTCACACACAGCCAGTGGCCTGGTGCGCCCAGCCCAGCCTGGTCTGGTAAAACGTTGTGTGGTCCCCTCCTCTGCCCTGGCCAAGGATCTTGGTTTTCAAAATGTCTTTAAAGCAGGATTCTAGAATGTTATTGCTGGAAGAGCCCCTAATGGTCCTCCAGCCCACCCACTTTGTTTATAGTTGGGGAACTGAGGCCACAGAGGGACCGGACTTCCCCAGGCCGGGGGTGGTTAGGCAGAGCTGAGATCTGAGCCATGTTCTTTTCCACGGACCCCACGCCCAGGCCTCCTTCCATCCCAACAGGAGAGAGAGCTCCGTTCCCCACGCTGGCTGGAAGGGTGCTGGTGCCCGAGGTCAGCAGCGCTTGTGGGCAAGCGGAAATGGTTGTGATAAGCAGAGGCTGGAGAAAGGACCTTGGTGAATTCTCAAGCACGTAATGAGCATCAGCTCGTCATCCGTCTCCATTCTCCTCGAGGTCCCGAGGTCTCTTCTGTGGCTCAGCTGCTGGCAGGCGCCTGGAAGAAAGACCAGGGAGCTGTGATTATGAGCTCGGCCTCCAGAGCCGGACTGGCTTGGAATGTCAGATTTGCCACTTACCAGCCGTGTAAATGACTTACAGCAAATGGCTTCATGGCCTGGGCCTCAGTTTACTCGTGTGTGAAAGAGCATAACAGTCTTGTCCGAACTGGGATGTCGTGAGGAGTAAATGAGTTAATGAATGCGTTAGTCCTTGCATGGTGCTGAGAACACCGTCCACTGTGGCTGTGAGGGCCGCGCTATGGGTGGGGCAGGACAGGGGCTGGGGAAGACCAGTCACACCCAGGGGTAAGGCCCCTCCAAGGTGGCCAAGTTGGGAAGGAGACAAGTCGTGTCCCACCAGCTTCCACGCTGATGCCACCCAAGGGCACACTCCCCACCCTCAAAGTGTGCCCTCAGGAAAAACTCTAGAAACTTCCTTGTCCAGTCAGGATTCAGTCAAGACAACATTCCACCCTAGCTGTTTCAAGAAGGAAATAAATCTCTTAATAACAAGGTTCAGTTCACAAAACCGCTGGAAAGGCTAGGGGTGCGAAGGAGGCCCCTGCAGCGGGTCAGGAAGGGTGGGATTGGGGGACTTGATGCTGGTGGTCCCGGCGGCGGCCTGCTGCCCTGCAGCTCTCTGTGACCGGTCACAGGGGCAGCAGCTGGCACGGGGAGGGAGAAAGGTGGTGTGCAGGCGTCCGGCCCCTGAGCTGTGGGAGGGCACATAGGAAAAGGGAGGTATGCTGAGATGCCGTCCGACGACCTGTCAACCCCTCCCACCCTCACACTCCTGGGGGAGAAACCGGGTGGTTAGTCCAGAGAAAACCTCCCTGCAGTACCGACTGTGCGCCGTGCTGGCCTGAGCCTCACACATGTTTTCTTTAGTCCTCACGACAGCCATGTGAGAGCCGAGACTCTGAGAGGTGAGGTGACCTGATAAAGCAGTGACAGAACCAGGACAGAACCCCAGGTCTGTGTGCACATGCGCTTGGGCCCTGCCCCGGATGCTCTCTGAGCCAGGCCAGGGGTCGAGCCACTCATTCCACACCCATTGATGGAGCCCCGCCACATGCCAGTCTGGGTCCTAGGTGTTTGGGACATGGCAGCAAACCAAACAACAAAAGTCCTCACGGAGCTGACATTCCACTGAGGGGGTGGGTACTGACCCCCTCCCCCCCACAAATATGTATAAACAATCTGTGTGGCGCTCAGCGCTGTGAAGGAACAAAGCAGAGGGAGGGGTTAGAGGGCGACACGGTGGGGCAGTGCTGCTCCATGCAGGCGGGCCAGGGACCTAACGGAAGGAGGAGGCAAACACGTGGCTATTCGAGGAAAG